TGAAGCAAGGAAACTCAAACATATTCTAGTGAATAAATAATTTTGAAGTCAAACTTCAACCATTTGATTATTGTCTTCTACAATAACGCGGTTTTGAACATCATCTATTTAACATGTTCTCAATAAACAAATAAAGACTTGACTAAAGTACAATTTTATGAACATAGCTGGGTAATTACAGGTGCAAGACTTTTGGAGCTTCCGTATGTTGTAGGTCTAGCCGTTCCCATTTGATGTTGTCGTATATACTGAACTAGAGCTAAGTTTAGAAAGACACGCAAATTAGAGAAAGAAATAAGACGATTTTGATATTTCTATAAAAATAGACTCTTTTGTAGATAAAATGGATCCTAATTTTTTATAGAAATAATTACTAACAAACACAATCTATTTCTAAAACACACTATAAAACTTTTTGATATCCCCTGCATTCGGAAGTAGAGGCCCTCGTTTTAGGAATGGAGTGTGTTTGATTAGAATAATCGAAGAAGCGGATGCATGGCCTAATTTCACTACCGAACTTAAGGAGTTCAACCGTCTGCCGAAGCTTTTTCCAATCCATATCGGTGTCTTCCACGTTCTCATGACTGCGGCGGATTGCTTGGCTCGTCAAGCAAGGACTCGTATTCCATTTTTCTCGCTTATGGGATCTTCTATTCCGGTGTGGCTTGCTACACTAACTCAAACTTGAATGATAGATTTTTTCGTTGATGTAAAAAAAAATAAAAAAATTGCAACATCTTTATGCCCATCCCTTATATATTAATTGGAGAGCAATTTCTTGAAAAGAGCTTATGTGTTATCACCAAATTTATTCTCACAATTTTAATGTGACATGACATTGCAAAAAATATGACATGACATTCACACCAAACTCTTCAAAAAATCATGAAGACCAAACCAAACCTCTTCAATTGATTAATTTTTCTCAATTAAAATCGTGATAAATATTTTTATCATACTTAAATATATTTATCATACTTAAACCAAACTTGAATTAAAATCAGATTAATATATTTAACTCCAAAAAAATCGGAGCAAACCAAACCTCTTCAATTGATTAATTTTTCTTAATCAAAATCGTGATAAATATATTTATCATACTTAAATATATTTATCATACTTAAACCAAACTTGAATTAAAATCGGATAAATATATTTAACTCCAAAAAAATCAGAGCAATAAAATATAGAGCCAGTTATAAGAAGATTAACAATAATTAGATTTCACCAAAAAATTCTCAACAACACAAAAAAATATAGAGAACAATAGTCCTTTAAATTATAAAATCAAATATACAAACAAATATTCGAAATTTATGCCCATCCCTTATATATTAATTGGAGAGCAATTTCTTGAAAAGAGCTTATGTGTTATCACCAAATTTATTCTCACAATTTTAATGTGACATGACATTGCAAAAAATATGACATGACATTCACACCAAACTCTTCAAAAAATCTTTTCAAAAAATCGTGAAGACCAAACCAAACTTCTTCAATTGATTAATTTTTCTTAATTAAAATCGTG